TGATGAGAATCTGATGACCGTCAGGACAGTGTCAAAATTCTTAACAATCAATCCTTTATTTTTTTCTCTTTTTGAGGAAGCCTCCTGCTTTGTTCAGGGTTGGCCATTCTCAGGATGCATGGGTTCTCTTCTTACAGCATTTCCCAGCTTTCGGGCAGTGGAAAGCCCTTTGCATCCTTAACAATCCTTTTGGACAGCTTCTTCCTATCTAAGTTTGAGGTTTTATCAAGCAAAACAAAAATCCTGAGCACAACACCTTGCAGAGCCACGTTTGTCTGGCACGGTCAGGAGCCGGGCAGGCTGTGCTACATGAGGCCATGGAGACTTCAAAAAGAAAAGGAAAAAAAAGACTTTTTTTGTCTTTTTCAGTCTTACTAAGCAACTTCTTTCCTGAGTTCTATTCTTAGAAGTCACTAACTTGTCTGACAGCATTAAGGTAACCACTCGAGCAGTGTGGAAAATACATGTTGGTAAGTCTTTTAGCAACAGCAACTAACAGGTAGTGTGTGAGGCTTGCAGAAAAAATGGGGGAAAGGCGCAACTTTCAGAAGTGCCTTACGGGAGATGATCACATTTGATAAAGCCAGTGGGATTCAGCACCTGAGGCTGCGTGGGGGCTGCTGACACATCCCAGGACGCCCAGCACTGCTGGTGCATTCCCATGCAGAGAACCAAGTTCAGCACCAGCTGCAAGAAAGGTCACGGTCTGGGAGTTCAGTCCTTAAAGAACATGTTGTCTTTAACAGGTATTATTTGCTTTTGTACTTTTATTGTTATTTTCTTAAATAGTTCAGAGCTAAGATATGGAGGAAATATTGCCTTTCAAATTGAATCACAGATGATGTTTACTCTTTATCCATTTTTTCATGGAACTACATAGCAAAATCAAAATAAATTTCTCATAGGCAGCTGACTTACCTATGGGTAACCTTCAGAGAAGGACAACGTTCTTCTGATGTGTATTTCCCTGGATATATTCAATTTATGGAGACTTAGCTATAATGTCCAGCCTCATGAACTGGTCAATATGTGGTAAACATTCATTTTGCTTTAATATTTTCCCTTCTCTGTCTGCTAGGAAATAGGAAATACGTTGTTCCAATTCAAGTGGCTAATTGAAAAGCATCATGAGTTATACTGGGGAAATCATAGAACCATTCAGGCTGGAGAAGACCTCTCAGATTCCCAAGCCCAACCAAGCCCACCGTGCCCACTGACCACATCCCCCAGTGCCACAACCCCACGGCTCTGGAGCACCTCCAGCAAAGTGACATCCCCCCTCCCTGGGCAGCTGTGCCAGCGCTGACTGCTCTTTGAAGAATAAATTATTCCCAATTTCCAACCAGACCCTCCCCATGTGCAGCTTGGGCCATCTCCTCTCACCCTATCACTGTTATCTGGGAGCAGAGGATGACTGCCCCCCCCACCTCCTTTCAGGAGTTGTAGGGAGCAATGAGGTCTCCTCTGAGCCCTCTCTTCTCCAGCCAGAACCACCCCAGTTCCTCAGCTGCTCCCCATAGGATGTGTGCTCCAGACCCATCACAGCAGCATTGCCCATTCTTCAGACAAACTCCAGCACCTCAATGTCTTTCTCTTAGCCTGGGGTCCAAATCTCCATGGTCCCACCACTCTTTTGTTTTGTAGCTGGTCAAAAACAGGGGTGAAAATGAAAACAGAAGCCCTGTGAGATAGCAAAGCCCACCCTCACCTGGGGACACATTCTGCCTTCTTAACAGGAGCGGGGCTGCCCTGGCTGCAGGCAGGATGTTTCCAGCAGGATGTTCTGCATGGACTGCAGTGCCCTGCTGCCACAAACAGTGAGAGCTGGTGGATGGAGAACCCTGACCACGTACAGCAAAGTCTCCCACATCACACCGTGATTTCCCAGTAGCTGCAAGACCCTTTCCAGGAGTTTAATCACATCCTTTGGCTCCCTGAACCCTGACCTATCTGAATCAGCTGAGAGGAACCTCGCTGCTAAGAACTGCTGTACAATTTTTAAACAAAAGAGGGCCCATTAATCTGCCACACATTTCAAACAACCGGCAATTTTTTTTCTCTGACTCAGAGTGTTTGTCCCACAGAGCCATGGAAGCAGTCCTATGCAGCCCACATCCATCACTGAGCACCATCCAAGCAGCACGAAGGGCCATCCCCAACCTGAAGGTGGGCTGACGGGAATGGCACAGGGCTAAAAAGCACTCAAGGACAAAGAAAGGGGAGAGATTTCAGTCTCTGTTATGTGGCTGTCAGGCTGTTATTCCCTAGCTAGGGCACTGAGAAATAGGTTTCTCAGGCATGTTCCTGCTTGTGGGCATAAAAGCGGATCAGCATCGACGGCCACCTCACTGTGTTGTCACATATCTGTGTAGGCAATTGAAAATAGAAACCTTCAGCTGGGGAAGGCCTGTGCCCAGGGTTTGCCTGCCCATTGTTTCTGTTTTCCTTTCATCGAGAGCGCATGAAAAGAGTTGGTGGTTTTTTTCCTTTTTCCTGTCCATTTTATCCATTTTTCGTTTCACTAACCGACTTCCTCTTTTTGGTTCTACATCCATGATTTTCCAACTCGGCTCTGTCAGCCTGATACTGTGTGGCTAATTCCCTTCCTAAGAAAATCACCAGCAATGGGTGTGAATACACAACATCCCATGGAATAATTTAGATAATAGCTGAAGCCCAAGAAACAGGAACAGGTGAGAGCATGAATTTGAGGTTCCTCAGAACTCCACAGTCACTTGAGACAAGGATTCATTTCTCTTGTGTTTATTTTATTAGAAATATGGTGTATTTAATTCCACTGTGAGATATGACTTTTTGATTCCAAGTGGTAATAAAAGATTTATTATTTGTCAGCCTTTTTTTTTTGTTGTTTTTTTTGCTGTTACATCAGTGACACAGATCTGTTCCTTCTATATGGCTCAAGTGGACTCTGCACTGATGCTCTCATAGCCCCTGCCAAATCTGGGCTCAGCCTTAAATATTCCTACCTCACATGTCTTCAGTTTAGAACAGTTTCCTGAGTCCTTGACCTTGCTATTACAAAGCTTACATGACCCTGTCCATCTTTTCATTAAACCAGTGTAAATAAGCAGCTGGCACACGCTCACGGCGTGTGGAGGAACAGCACAAAAGCCCCAGTAAACAGCTTGTTGTCTGCAACAAAAATGCAATGGGTTCTTGTTTAAAAGGCGTTCCATTTCAGTGCAGCCTAAGTATATTAACTCATTAATCAATGTGTGAGATAGCAACGATGTCACACAAATGGCATTTCTGCTGTGCTCTCAGCAGCCTTTTCTGCAGCTCTTTGACTTCTGCTTTCCCCGGCGTTGGCTCGGCCCCAGCATTGTGTGTCTGCTGAGCTCTGACAGCAGATGGCATCTCTCTCAGAAAGGATTATTAGGAGAAAGGAGAGCAGAAAGCTCACTGCCATGCTCTGCCAGGCTACTGCTGTCAACAAGGTCGACATCATTCACTGATCGATGGCAAAAAGCAGCATGGGGCCTTCCCCATGCCTGCCTGGGCAGGGGAAGTGAAGTGCTTTGTTTCTCTGTGTTGTATTAGAAGCACTAAAGGAACCTGGTCCTTTTTTAAATAATGAGATCAACACATCATTGAGTCACCAGTACGTATGATCTGTGGCTTCATAGTCACAGCACAGCATCATTGCCTGCACATGCAGTACAGTTGCTAAGTGATCTGCCTCCGGCTCTCTGTTCCCCCTCCTGTGATTTGCTCATGGGCTGATGGAGAAGGGAAAGAGAAGCTGGCTAGTTTAACAGATGGTATGAAACTGCCATATTCCTGTGAACTCCTCCATCCCAAATCTGTTTCAAAAAATTAATTTAAGCTGTCCTTTGAACTAATGTATTGTAAGGTGGCATTTTCACATATGCTAAGAGATTGGCTTTGTCATTTCTTTATCCAAGAGGTGTGGCCCATTAGCCACAACCCAAATCATGATATTTCTATTCTCCATTATTCAAACCCAAGGCGAACAAATGTAATGAAAGCACAAAGGTCATTACAACGTATGCTTTTATTTATTTATACAAGGGAGTTGATGCTTTACTCCCACTCTGAAAGGTATAACATAATTTGCTTCAAACAGATTGCTTCCTGACCTCAGCATTAAGAGAAATCAGCTCTTGCTTCCATTCACTGACAGGATTCTTTTGGGCCTAAGCTGTAAATGTGTCCCCTAAACCAGAAGTTACAACAAACATCTCATCTGCTTTATGTAACTACAGCACAGCATAGGGTTATGAGGTGCAACAGCCATGCTATCTAACTTTGATATCTTTATTGGTTCTGAGAAAAACAGAATAGAACTACTTGCTCTCTCACTTGTTGCAGTAACGTAGGAAGAGCTGAACTAAGATTTATTTGTTCTCAAACAGCTCTTGTATGTTTTTGCTTTTATTTTGGAGCTGAAGCCCTCTGACCGGGGCAGCAGCAGAGCAGAGGTGTCACCCACTCTCCTCCTTGCATCACCCTGCCAGAAGTAGTTCAAAGAGTTGATGATGGTGATAAATGGACATGAACAGAAACCAAATCCATAAAGTAGGGCATTACGTCACTTCTAGTCTAATACCTGCTGTGGGTTTTGAATTCTCAAAATGAAATATTCTATTTCTTCTAGTTTGCATCAGCAGTTCACTGAATTTTCCTGCAAATAATTGAATAGAGCTTTCTTATCCAACTTTTTTTTTTTTTTTTTTGCATCCAGGAGGACTTTTTTTCACTATAGTCATTCACATCTGTCATACATAGGTTAAATACAATGAAATTAATGAGAGGTATTAAAAATTCACATTTGGTAAATTGCTTCAGAGTTTAAGAATTACAATTTGTGTGTGCATTTGCCTAACAAACTGTCCTTATTGTGAAAGCTTAACTGATAAAAGCCAATTAATCAATTACAACATGATGCCCTCACTTTTCCTAACAGTCGAATGTTGAAAGGCAGACTTTGCTGATGAAAATTTGTGCCAGCTGGAGCCCCATGGCCAATAACAGGCTTTGTTGGCTCTGACCAGCTTCAGCTGGGCCTCTGCTCGCACCCTGCCCACAGACCAGGAGCCCATTTAAGCTCAGCCCTGGAGATCGTTCAACTCCTGCTTGTATCACAGAAGTGTTGGCCTCCAGCTCAGCTGCAACTGTTCCTCTCTCTGACCATGAACCCTGCTGGTTTTGGATCTTAATCTGTGGGTTGATCCTGCCTCAACCTCAGACTTTCTACATCATCAGATGGTTGCTGATGAACTGGGTGCTTGGCTGCCATCCCCAGGCCTGTCCTGCTTGCTGTGCTTTGTTGCTGTGAGGCTGCACTCTGAGGTTCCTGCCTTGTCAGCTGCATTGTGCTTGGCTCCTGGCTCCCCGTCTTTCAGGTAGCAGATGATTCTTGCTGTATTCCTACAGGAACTGTGCACTTGCCAATAAGATTGATGCAGAATGTTACAAGTCTAGTTTAAAGAAGAGCTATCAATAAATAAAAAAAATTGCAATCAAAATCAATAATACAAAACATCAGGATGCTTTATTTGACTGTGCTTCGTGTAGAGGAGGTAATTGCTTCTGTTGGCTTAAGGGAAGGCTTACATTTGACTTCTCTCTTCATCTGGCCAAGGTATCCTTAAGTCAAATTCACACATGGAGAGTAAGTTGGCACCATACAGCGTGATTATATAGCTTTTAGAAGCACTTGGTACTGTTTTCTTGGTTATGGGATGCAGAACAGATTTACTGTAAGGTCAGTCCCATCGCTTCTTACTGATTTGGGCTGCCAAATAGTGCTGGTCTGTGTGCTGTGCCTCCCGTAAATGTGTTATTTCCTCACTCCAAGCGCTCATGTCTCTCCAACTTCTAGTCAGCAGTTCATGTTCCTCTGTATGGACGACCATTATTAAATACAGCATGGACTTAAGTGTATTTTCTTCAACAGGTAGAAAAAAGAAATGGCTGAGGAATCTGGAGCAGAAGCAGAAGACATGGATGGAACGAGCACTCCTAAGATGGTGTGTCCTCCTTTTGGCACGTAACGCTGAATACAGCTGGGAGCCTATCGCAAATCTATGTGAGGTGATGGGGGCGGAGTGGGTTCTCTAATTAACGGCTGCGGTAATTACGGGCTGTGCCGGTGTGGGGCGGCCGCTGTCCGTGGTGCTGGAGGCGCCGGCTCTCTACTGCCGTCGGCTGAGAGCACGAGGGCAGGTGTGGCACTGGGGGATGTGGGTCAGCGGTAGTGGGCACAGTGGGGATGGGTCAGCGTAGGGCCAGATAAGCCCAGCCTCTTCCAACCTTAGTGATTCTATGATCTCAGCCCATTTCCTAATTTCCGCTTTATAGAAATGTGGCTGGCAGTCTTACAAAAACAGGTTGTACCAAATGTTTGTGGAAAAGGTAAAGGTAATTTTCCACCACACTTAATGACAGTGAAGATAGCTTTTGTTATACTTGCAATGGCAAACTGCACCTCGGAAGGAGGAGTTTGTTTTGTGACATCCTGAGCCAGCCAATTTAAACTCACCCATGTCATTAGATGCAAAAAGGAGGTAAAGGAAATGCTTCAGCTTCAAGAAAAGCCTCGATGAGATAGCTCATGCCTTTCTAGCTCTGGGATAAGGCAACCACAAGACAGAAAGCCACAGGCTTTCTTGGTTCCACAGTTATCAAAATTGTTTTCAGAATGATGATTCATCAAAATATTCTTACATTTTTTGACATGCCAAATTGCATGACTGCTGGGGATTCATCATCTCCCCAGTTAGCTCAAAGGTACAGATTAAAATATATATATCTGTGTATGTATATATATATACATCTTCTCTATTCCTCTAAGCAGTAGTTCTGCTTGTAATAATGAGAACTGGGTGATCGGTTCACCAATGAAAACCAGACAGAGGACCAGACAAGGTGGAAACTCAAGGCATCAATGCAACTTCAGATCTAGGTAAACAAAGGAGGAGGAAGAAAGTTCCTGCCCAGGCGCAGGAAGTGAGGACATGTGAACTGCAATGAAAGGAGGGGGAGTTTCTGCTTACTCAATGTAGCTGGGATGTTTCGGAGCTGGGTATACTGTGGTTTGATGTCAGACTAGTTCACTTGGCAATGGGTAATGTAGCTCCAGAGAAACACTGAGAGCTGTTGGGAGAAGTTCAAGCATCTTTCTGATCTACACAAAATGAAAGCTAAAATAGTATCCCGAGTAGTTGTGATATTTACTTAGCAGATTCTTGCACCGATTTCCTCAACAAATGCTGAATTAGACAAGGGGAGAATGATCTCATAATTCTGTAATGAAACAGAAAAGAGGGCATGATTACCATCATAAGAAACCAGGAAGGCAGACAGCTGATACTGAAATGTGGGGGAGTGCTGAGTCACTGCATTGAGTGCTGCCATAGTAACAATTTAACAGCTGGTTGGGGATGAAGAGATTGAAAAACCTGAAATAAAAATTGGGCAAGTTGCAGCTTGAAATATAGTACACACTTCTTAAAAGACTGAAAATGGAGCACTTTCAAAGAGTGTTTTTTGTATTTAGTGTTACTTCGAGCAACAAGATTACAGCAGAATATTGAATGAACACAGAAGAGAACTGAAAAGGAAAAACAGAAATGGATATTTCTTCCTTTAGACAAATCTTGTAATGGTGAGAATGAGTAGGAGCAACTTTGAATTTTTTTTAGTATTATTCAGAGATGTGGTATAGCATGCGTTCCCTATGGCCCAGACCACAGTGTGAAGGAGCAGAGCAGCAGGATCTTCTGGTACTAACAGAGTTAGAGATAAATTGGAAAACTTCTCATAGCTTAGAGAGGAATGTAAGCTCAGATTCCTTGGATGGCCTTTTCTGGTTATATTTTTTTGTCTGGATGTTAGGAATACTGTTGTTGGCTGTCACTGTGGTATCTCCTGATGCCAAAGGTATGACCTCTGTAACAGAGCCGACTGTGAAATTGTAGCAATTTGGAACGTTTATTTGACTCATGAATTCTGAGTAGGATTCTGGGTGGTTTCTTACTGTGGAAAATTTCAACATCGTGACAGGTGTCTCACACATCTTGAAATAGTCTCCATTGCTCTCATCCTAGGTGACAGACAACAGTGAGTGACAGCACTTAAGAGGTCTGAGCAGCTTCAAAAGATTGCCTCCTCAGCTGGTCCTTGTGATGGTCATTTGGGCAACATTTGCCTTGGTTTGTAATGAAAAGCTACCAAAGGATTGAAACAGAAGTCAAGAATTAGAAAAAGGCTCATGAGAACTTCACAGAAAGGCAGGAAATTTGTGGTGAAACACAGGAAGTCAGTAGTCTTTTTTTAGTTGACACCGAGGTTGGAGGAGATGCTGCTGGAGCTGATGAGGTCAGGGAAGCTCTTCCTTGCAGAGCACAGGCGGGCACCTCGCAGGTCCCCAGAGTCAGAAGCAGGAGGCCCAGGTGGTTTTCATTGTGTCAATGGCCTTCACTCCTTGGTGAGGAGGAGGAAAGGCTTTTTCAGGACTCGATGTACAAATCTTTGCTGTAAACTTCCAGTGGAATTCTGGAAGTTGCTGGACTTTAATCAGTTCCTACTGCTCCCTCAGCTTCCCTAAAGAGGTATTAATTTCTAAGTCCATCTCCTGAAAGACCAAGAGATGCTATATGATTAGGACAGCTTAATTTCTCCTATCTTTCAGCTTCAGCACTGTCATATCTAGGTTTGCGGGAGCCCAGAGGCAGGGCTCAGCAAATAACACGGGTGCCCTGGGGGGAGTCCTAGTGGCTGTGGGATGCAGATTGCTTGCAGAAAACAAGATATGCTAACTGCCTTCAAAAGCATGGAAGCTGCTGCATAGAAGAAGGCACAAAGTGGGGAAGGAAATGTTCTTCCTTATCAAGAATGAATGTTTCAGGAATAGACTAGACAAAAGCTTTTAAGTAAAACAGCCATAAAATAGGACTTGGCAAAATCATTTCTCTGCTGCTAGGCAATCTAATTTACTTTTATTTGATTTTTCTGGGACCAGGTGTAGCTGAAGTCACAGTTGCTGTAGTCTGTGAAGGCATTTATCAAGAGAACTGAAGTCTGAAGACACAGATACAGTTGTCTTAAGTCTCCATTGCAGCAGACTTGAGTTTTTTGTTTGTTTGTTGTAGTTTGTATTTTTTGCTTTGAGACAAAGGATTTTGGAAACCCAATTTACCTGGGCAGTTGGATGGAGCAATTTCCTTACAGCTTTCAGCAGTGGGCAGTAGTGACACTAACAGGTGATATCAGTTTTAGTCAGACGTTGATCTTCTGTATGCAGGAAATTTTAAGTCTTTTTTTCAAAGTGAATCAGAAGGAAACCACATTTAAAGTGCCTTTGCCTATCAAATGGAAATTATTCATTTACATCAGCTCTGTTCTCACTTTTAAGAAAGTCAAAAGCTTTTATCTTCAAAGGAAGTCGCACTCTGGACAGGACAGCTTTAATCATTGATACATGAGGGCTAATTCCTTGTGTGCAGGGGATGTTTGGGTGCATCTTGCTCCATGCTCACAAGGAGTTAAGCAGCTGCATGCTGCAGTTCTGCCTGCCCTGCAGATTTGCCACGCTTGCTGTTCAAGAGAAAGGACATGACGGTGCGTGTTCCACTCCTTGCCACTCCTGACCCATTTTCCCACTGGCTGTGCTTAGTGGGGATGTGACATCCGAGCTCACTGCTGGCGCAGCCGTTGTAAAGCTTTGTTCTGCAAAGCCCTTCTCGTACCATGGAGCTCAGATTAATTTTCTACAACCAGCTTTGTTTGGGGAGAGATGGAATCGCTAAGAATATAAATCTGTTGGCTCCTCCCATTCATTTGCCAGCATAAGCATTCCATCTCCTTTTGTACGTAGCCATTTGCTGTTTTTTAAATGTTTTGTCGTATCTCGCAGCAATGCCGATCTGTCTCCAAGCAATTCTGATAGAGATGTCGGTATTTCTGCTGGTCGGGGCTTTCGGGACCGCTACCACGAGGGTCGCCATTCAGAGGCAATTTCACAGACCAAAGGCGAAAATCGCTACGGAATAAAGTTTCTCCCTTTTCCTCTTCCCCTCCTTTCCCCTGGTGCTCAGAGGGGGAAGGGACCTGCGCACACCACCGAGCAGCCTCACCCGATGTAAGAAGGAGCCGGAGGGCTGGCCAGGATGGGGAGAGGAGGAGGAGGAAGGATGCTAAAAATACCGCCCTATGCCGGGCAGCGCGCGGTGCCGGTGCGGGCCGGGTGCGCAGTGTGCGCGCCGCAGTGCGCGGCGGGAGCGGCCGCGCCGCAGGGATGCTCGCCCCGCTGCTGGGCTCCGCGGGCTCCGGCTGCCTGCTGCTGGGTGAGTGCCCGACCTGCTACGCCCCAAGGCCCCCCCTGACCGCCGCGGGGTGCGGGAGAGGGGCTGTGGGGATGGGGGCGGCAGCGCGGCCCGGTAGAGGCTAACCGGGACGGAGCCCCTTGGCCCTGGGAGCGGTTCCCCGGCCTTCCAGCACGGGTATTCCTATTTAATCACTTTCCGATTAAAAGGGGGAAATGCAATCGGATGCTGGTGCTGAACGGCGAGGGTGGTTTTGGAGGTGAAAATTTGATATTCTGCTGCATGCTTGCAGTTTGATGGCACACAATGAGATGGTGCGGCAGAGCGAGAGAGGGCTGGAGGAACGGCTGGGTGTGTTACATAATTTCAAAGCATTCTCAGGGGTTATTTGGTCGGTCCATCTCCAGCAGTGTGTAAGGGCACTTTCTGCTTATTTGCAGTGGGTGCGTGAAATAGGGCAGTGTGTGGGGTTGTGTCCGTGCTCGTGTGGGTGGGCAGGGCTGAACTGGTGTCCCATTGTTTTGTGGACAGGTAGTGATGGTTCAACCTGTGTCTGGACTAAAAAAATCCATGCGGGTCTGAAATAGGTGCTTCTCTGTAAGGTGTGTAAGGGTTTGGCCTTAAGCTGGGACCTTCGAGTCTGAAGCATCTTCACTGCAGAAAGGCATGGCTCGGTGCCTGTGCTATTTCTCCCTTCATCCAACAGCAGACTTCCAAGGAGAAGTACAAAGGGGAAATGATTTTTAAAGATGACAGCTTTGCATCATTAGGTGAATCTTCTGCTGGGAAGAGCCAAGAATGGAAAACATGTTGTAATTATTTATGTGCATGTCTACTTGATGTTTCTGAATCTGGAAAAGAAAAAAAAATAGGGAACTGAATATCACCTTTGTCTTTGGAAACATCCTGGTAGCTCACACTGAAGTCAGTGCACTTTCCCTGCTTCAATCAGCTGCTTCTGAAGTGTAACAAAACTCACACAATGCTAACTTTTCCCAGTGGGAATTCCATGGGTGAATCAGAGAGCAGGACCTGGCTCAGGGCGAGTGTTTGTTACAGCATTTTGGGCCCGGAGCCCCAGAGATTGCTCTGAGCTCCATTACTGGATCCGAAGTTTTGCTTATGACAACAGCAGAGCAGAACCAGTGGGGAATGATTCCCTGGGGCCTCCTTGTGCACACTGCAGGACCAACCCCATGATAGAACCATTGAGGTCAGAAAAGACTTCTAAGGTCCCCAACCCATCCCACCATGCCTGCTGACTGTGTCCCTCCAGTGTCTCATCTCCATATTCTGGATCAACTCCAGGCACGGTCATTCCATGCTTCCAGGGCAGCTCTTAGTACCACCCTGCCGCGTCCACACATCTCTCTCTGCATGCCCTGCCATCCCCAAGTGTCCATCCATCCAGCTGTGGCTCTGGTGCGTGGCCTCCATTAATTCCTCACCCATTTTATTTTGGTGTAAATGGTGATTTCAGCCTGACCTTATGTGCCCTGTGTGTCCCGCGCTGCCACTGCCCCTCTCCCAGGCACCAGGCTGCCCAAGGGAGATGGTTCTGTGCTCAGATCCTGTCCAGCCCAGTAGCTGTGTGCTTGTGGTTGCTGCTCTTGTGGTCTCGGTCTTCTGGTTGCTTTGTCCCATTGGACACAGTTCTGTGCTGCTGAGGGAACATGGTAACCATGCTGATGTACTCAACAAGATGCACGATGTCCACCACATGCTAGTACAGCACTCTTGTTGGGTCTGTATGAGTTTCTTGCACACTTACAACGGGTTTGAGTCATTGAGGATGGGTCTGCAATGCTGACCTTGGTGGAATAATGCTGTAGACAAAGATGATTCATTCCCAATGTGCAGACAAGCTCTCTGTTACCCTGGGTGCTCTGGTGGATGCAAAGCGGGCACCAATGTGCAGAGATTTGCACTTGGGATGGTTTGGTTGTGGCTTTACAACATTTCAGCTGTGTCCCTCACATGAAAACTCTGGAGAGGTTGCAAGGGACTCTTACAGCCCCATTTCCAAACCCACTTCTCACTGTGGCACAGAGCCCTCAGTGACAGCCTGAAGTTCAGGTCTCAGGATAAGGAATGTTCCCTGCTGTGCTCTGTGTGTGGCACAAAGCAGGCGCCTAGGGCTGGGCATGGAGCACTGACTGCTGTGGGAGAGGCAGTGCCTGGGCTGTGCAGTGTGATATATTTAGTTGCTTTTATTCTCCAGCTCTATTACTTTTCCATTTAGACAATTGTTAGATACCATCAAAAGGAAGGAGTAAATGTACCCACGTTTCTCTGCTTGCTTGTGGGGAAAGGCAGCGCACAGCAGTTTTCTCTGCTGCTCTGGACTAATTTAGACATTTATTTGATTTTTGTCTCCACTCTACTATGGACGTTACCAATTTTTCTAAGTAATGAAAAGAGGAGAAAGGCTTTGGAGACAACTGGCAAACCGAATTAACTGAATACCCGTGGATGTAGGAAAGCTGACTTGGGAGCAAGCCAAGGACAAAGAGATATGATGTTACAGAAGTGAGAGTGTAACTGTTGGCCTTGTATCACCAAGCACTGCTGAGCATCACAGGGCTTCAACCTTTCCTCGTTATTATGTTTCTGGGTGAGAAATTTGGGTGTAAATTCAGCTTTGCAGAATCATTCAGGTAGGAGAAGACCTCTCAGATCCCCAAGCCCAGCTCACCATGCCCACTGACTGTGTCCACCAGTGCCACATCTCCACGTTCTGAGGCATCCCCAGGTCAGTGACTCCCCGCTTCCTGGGCAGCTGTGCCAGCACCTGATTACTCTTTGGAGGAGAGATTGTTCCCAATACCCAACCTGGTATTGCCATACAGTGGCTGGAGCACCCAGCTGACTCGCAGAGAGCTGAGGCAGGTGCTGGAGGATACCAAGGGATGCTCCAACCCCATGGCCTTCTTCTTGGCTTTGCTCTTTTTTTTTTAACAGCAAGAAAGAAGAAAGGAGAGCATCTATTAATGCAACTTTTATTTATAAGTGTTCCTTCCTTTGGCAATGGATCAATACAATGAGGTTTTTTTATGACTGCTATTTATGTGCCTTGTGCTGCTGTGTGAAGCCAAACCCTGCAGGTCCCTGGTTTGGGATCTGGGCCATCTCTGCCCATTTCTGCAGCCTGATGCAATGGATTGAGGTGTGCCAGAGAGGCTTTAAAATATGGATGAAGATGCTCAAATTTTATCCCTCAAATCCTCAGCACCCCATATTAACAGTGGATTCTTCAGGTTCTTTCCTGAGCTTTCCTGCAGCTTGCTCTGAGCCCAGCCTGGCTCCCATGGCTGTTATTTCCCAATAAGCTGAATCAGGGTCCTGGCAAATCTTTTTCTGCAGACTCCAAGGCACTGAGCACTGTTTCCATGCAGCGTCACACAGGTAAATGTTTTGCTGTGCTCATACTGATTGCCACGGTGTGCCATCAGTGCATGTTGATGACAAGTCACTTGCTGTGTCAAAGCCTCCCTTCGCCGTAAACATTGTCACAGAGCCTTCAAGGTGACCCTTGGCTGCTGAGGAGGCAGATAGAGGGGAGAGAAGGGAAGGCTGTGGCTGATTTTGCTTCTCCTTGTGCTCTGTATATGGATAAAATTATTTGAGCTTTGGATTGGAGGCTGCGTGATGAAAAATTCAGTGGTTGGTGCTGGGAAAGGATAAGGCTCTGAGCCCATGCTGTGCTGCACCTTGCCGGGCAAACACCTCCCATGTAAGCCACCAAGCTTTCATCTTGGGTAGCACACAACTTTCAGCAATGTGGAAAGAAGAAAAATCCAACCATCTTGTCCAAGACCTTTTCCTTTGCGCCACAGGAAGCAAGGAAAAAAAGGCATCATTTAGTGGAAATCACCTTCTTCTTGGGAAACCCCCAACGAAGGGGGGGGTTCTGTGTGCAATGGTGTTGCAAGAATGCAGCTCACATTTCCATTTCCTCAAGCATGTGGCTGCTGTGGTGTAGATACAATCTCAGGCAGGCCACACCACTAGGAAACAGTTTCCACTTCATTACTGCAAAATAATGCTGCAGAATCAGTATCAGATGAGTTGGTCTCTGTGAGGTCAAGGGGATGCAGGGGTACCTGGTTTCATCACCCTGCTCTTCTCCCTTGGGGCGAGTTGTGCCATTTGGACCACGTGAGCATGGTTTCTCTCCTGCATGGGTGCAGGATACTGGGTGGTTTGGAGTAAATGATGGGCTGGGAAGGGTCCTTGGTCTGCTGCAGTCTGCAGAGTGCTGCTCATGCAAACCCATCTTCTGGAGCCAAATCTTCAGGTCCAGACATGGCAGGCTGTGACGCAGAGACCCAGCACAGGGTGGCACCAGCGGGACCTCCCTGCTCCGAGAGGAGTTTCCCTGCACACACTTCCATTTTGGATTTTTTTTTTTTTTTTTTTTTTCCTATAAGCTTTTGCTCTGAAATCTGAGCTTCTATCCAGTTTGGTTATGACTAATCCATTGGCTGCCTGTCTGGTGCTGGCATGACAGCTCAGCAGCTGCTTGTTTTCCCTGGTGCTTCCTTCCCAACCTCCCCAAGGCTGATGCCTGTGGGGCAGCTCTGTCCTCATTCTGCTGGCTCCTGAGCCCAGGTCTCCTCCTCCAAACAGCTTTCTGCAAAGGATGGCTGATGTGCAGTGTAGATACAGCTGGGTGCAGAATGTATCATGTCTCTCTGGGATCTGTTGGTGGATGGAATGCTGCGTGGCCGCCCTTTGGGCTGGCCGTTGGTTCATAGCCGAGAGAAGGAGCTCAAGTGGCCTTTGCTCACCCCACAGCCATTGAGCAGCAGGGGCTGGGATGTCCCCATGCATGAGCTGCAGCAGTCCAGGCTGTGCCAACCCTCGTGGGCTGGAGATGGTTCCAGAGGGGACAGAGAGTGGCATCAGCACCACGGGAGGATGCGCTGGGATCTCACATGGCAAGGTCTGCAGGTCCCCATGGGCTGCAGAGCAGCAACCAGCTCCATCACCCAGCTGCAAAACCTTAATATCAACTCTGTAAACAACACAGACATTGCTTCCTTTAAGTGAGGGGCGAGACAGGAGGCATGCAGCACTAACATGGCTGGGCAAATGAGAACAAACAGTAAATACGTTGTGGTTTGGGGTGGGAGCCGCGGCGGTGTCGCGTGTGGCTGCTAGGTGGCACCACCGCGAGCAGTGCCAGCTGATGTCACCAACCTGTTCAATGCCCTCTCCTCTTCCCCTCCCCTCCCCCTTCCCTTCCAGGCATAAAAGGTGGAAAGAACACTACGGACCGTTTCTAACGATGGACAAAATATATCCGTTTGCTTTCTGAATGTGTTTCAGCCAGTACGTCCCGTGCAGTTCAGATTTATGTAAATCCGTGATTTGTAATTCTAGAGGGGCAAACACGGAGTTATTTTTGTGCTGCAGCGTGGTCAGATCTCCTGCCTGCTGCTTGCAAAAGGTTGCCCACGTCACACCAGCAACCTGACGGAGCTCAGAACTTCGCAAGGCGATTCCCATCGCTCTACAACCCGTTGGCGAGCGGCTCCCTGCGGGTTTATGAAATAATTCTATTTCTGGCTCAGCCGTGCAGGCAGGGTCAGAGGCCGGCCGGGGACACCCCGGGCACCCCGCTGAGCGCCGCGTCCCCGCCTCGAACGGATCGCTGTGCCCTCCAGGCTCCTCCTGGGCCCCGATCCCGGCCAAGCAAATCCCTTCAGCTGAGAGGCTGCCGAGGGTGGTGTGATGCTGTGACCCGCCAGCAACAATTCAGCCCTGTGTTTCCTTTGGGAAAAGGCATTTGCATATCTTCTGTTCGCTTTATTTGGTTAAACACATTTGAAAAGGCAAAAACCATTGAGAGGGAGGAATGGACTGAGGGCCTCCCTTGCTTTAACTCTTCGGAGGTCAGCTGGGGGCTTGCCAGAGGGAGGAGGGTAAGGAACAGCAAAGTCTTCGAGAGATGTCTCAAAATACCCAGAGCAGAGGCTCTGGGAGCTGCTTTTGCAACTGGAAAGAGGAAGGTGCTGGGGATGGGGAAAAGTCACGAGGACGGAGGCGGCGGAAAAGCGCCGTGTGCTCTGAACTGGGGGTTTGTTGATGTGCATTGAACTCAGCACAGACAGGAATGCCTTCATGTGGCTTAGAAATATACATGAAAATACGTGAGCTTGGATAAAAGTGAGTTGCCCTCATGTTGGGAATGCAAGCAGGGCATGCAGCAAAGTGCAGAAGTCAGACAGAACTGACTGGAAACGAAACCATGGATAGCTCAACTGCTGCTTAATTTAAAGCTAAAGAAAAAAAGCAATAAACAAAACAACAACAACAACAAAAACAA